TCAAACGCCTATTGATACGCATTTCTACACCCATCCAATACTCATCTGCCGTGCTCCTTAGGTGATTGTTTGGCTCCCCGTGACCTGTTACATCTCTCATCGGTCTCGTTGCGTCTTGCCGGTGTGGCAGATAGCTTGGCAGGCTGAACCACGCAATACCTTACCCATGCCACCAGGACCGTGTCTGCGGCTACAAACCCGGTTTTCGTCGCAAGGGCCCATGCAACCTGTTTTGATTTTGTTTGAAAAGCAGTCGGCCACCCAATGCTTTGATGTTTGAGAAAGGGGGGCTTGTTGTCCCACAGTTAAACGGCTTGAGCACGAGCTCCAGTCCATGTGGGCCCCGTACTCGAAACAAAACCCGTTTTTATCGACGACACGCTTTGTTAGCTCCAAGAGCTAAGAGGGGAACAAGCGAGCGCTGTGTACGGGCGCAAAAAAATAATCTCTATGAGCCCAACAACGGAACTGGGAAGGCTCGGAAGGCAAAAACGGACGGCGCTACCCGCCACCATGAATAATACTGCGAGCCTCCGGTTTGTTTACTTCAAGCACTCGAACGCACATAGTCCGAGATACTACGTGACGCGGCGTACATTGGCCACAACAGCACGTACGACGTCTCTTTGTCAATGTGAGGCAAAAGGGTTTGGCTGTTGATGATAATGACCTCCCCGCTGGCATCACCTTTAACCAAAAGAAGCAGCATATCGGGTCTTATTTCACAAGCTGCAAGGCCAGTCTGCAAGAGCTCACTGGCTCGGCTGTGCCTGCACGTGAGCTGCCCTCCCGATCCTCATCAAAAGCTGCAGAAAAAGTGCAACTAGAAGAGGCCTGTAGGGCATAATCTTACGTGTGCTGGATGCACCTAGCCCAGTCCTTGGCCCGCGTCTTCGTTCGGGCCCTCCATCCAATCCCGCTTTACCCCCCCCTCCACTGCCAACCAACCCCTGTCACAGAACAACACGAGCAAGGATCTTGGAGGGGCTGCCTCTTCGCTTTTACCGCAAACACAGCACAAAAGCAAAGGGAAATGCACTCAGGCAGCCTCTTCTTCTCGTCTGCACAGTCTTGGAGTGTGTTCGTCTCCACTGCGAAGGCTCTTGTTCCCTGTTCCTCTTCCAGCCTCCTCCCCGTAACAACCGCATTCGCCTTCGTCTGTAACTCGAGCCTCTTTCTTTAGTTTCTGAGCGTTTCTCGTTTTTGACCAGCTCCTGGTTCTTGCTTTTCTTAAACAACGTAAAACAGACAAAACAGCAAAAGCGCCAGCATACGAGACAAAGCTCAGTTACATCCTGCTTGTTTTTGTTTTTGATTTGCCGTGCTGCGATCAGCGACTTTACCATTTGTCAAATTTTACCCCTCCTAGCATCGACAGGCGTCATCTGCGACAGGTCGTGCCACCTGCGTCACCAGAGTTTAGAAATCAGAAACACTCCCTTCTTGCCTCCTTCTCCCTCTCCAAAGAGACGTCCCTCTGCGAAACGGAAGACTGCAGGGCAGGGATACACAAAGACAAAGCACACTGCCGTCGCTTGGCCTGTCCCGCGGCATGTCTCTCCAAGTCAACGACAGCGGCCGTCGTGGCCGATCCAGGTCACCCTCGGGCCGGGAGCGGGACCGCTCCTCCTCCCGCATCGAGCGATCCCCGTCCGGTCGCGATCGCGAACGTGACCGTGATTACGAGCGCGACAGAGAGCGCGATCGCGATCGCGAGCGTGATGACCGCGACGACCCCCACATTGTGACTGCCGCCCCCTACCCGGGCTCCTTCCCCGGCGACGATGACGGCCCCAATGGCAAGGACGACGACCCGCGCAAATCTGTTCGTATTCTCGACTACGATGACTACCGGGGGAACGCCACCCAGCCGCCACCATCTTCGTCGGGACGAGGAGGCGGACCGACCCCAAACAGCGGCGACCCAAGATACCGCTCATCCAAGTATGACGAGGATGATGAGGCGGACATACGCTACGGCGACCGCCGCCGTGAGAAGGAAAGCAGCCGCGACCATGACTATGAGCGTGGTGGATACGAACGAGAGCGTGAGCGCGAACGCGAGCGTGAGCGTGAGCGTGAACAGGACAAGGGCAGAGACGAGCCTGCGATTGCTGCTGACAAGTTTGCCTTCTTGCCCGCCAAATATGCCAAGAAAGTGGAAGCCGCCGGGCCGGCTCGGGACAAGCCGTCGGCATCGTCGCATGGCGGCCGAGAGCCGGAACGTGACCCGCGTGATCCCAGAGACTCTCGGGACCACCGTGAACCGCCACGCGGCTATAATGACGAGCGCCTGAGCGATCGTACCCGTCTGGGAGCCGGACCTGGCGCAGGACGCCGCCATAGAGGCAGCGGCAGCGAAGAGGACGACACGGACGATGATGACGAGGGCCTCGCCTACGGACACGGCGGCGTTCCCAGCGGCAAGTCCGCGGGAAAGCCGTCCTACGGCTACAGTGGTGAGCCGAAGCAGTATGAGTACGCCAAGTCGGACAGGTACGCGTCCTACGGTGATGATCGAGAGCATGGTGCTGGCCGGGGCGGTGGACGGGACCCGCATGTTGTGACGGCGGAGCCTCGGGACCCGCGCGATCCGAGAGATCCCAGAGATGCTCGTGACCCCAGAGATCCGCGGAGCTCCAGAGACTCCTTTGATGGCCGGAGTGGCCGTGATCTCAGAGATCCACGTGACCCCCGTGATCCTCGCGATCCCAGAGATGCCAGAGATCCTCGTGATCCTCGTGATGGTCGCGACCCTCGCGACCCTCGCAGTTCGAGAGAGTCGTTTGACGGCAGAACTTCCCGCGATCCGAGAGACTCTCGGGACCCAAGAGACACCCGGGACAACCGGGACCCCAGAGACCCTAAAAACCCCAGAGACCCCAGAGACCCCAGAGACCCTCTTGATGGTCGTGATCCCCGCGACCCGCGTGACCCGCGTGACCCGCGCGACCCACACGATCCACGCAACTCCCGAGAGTCGCATGACATCCGAGATGACCCTCGCTACGAAGACGAACGAGCATCTAGGCACTACCGTGACGACCCCCGTGATCCTCGCGATCTTCGTGCAGACCCCCAAGCCGATCCTCGTGACCCTCGCTCCAGCGGCAGCAACATCCTGTCTGTTGAGCCCCCTCGTCGCCGTGAACGGTCGCGGTCGCCGATGCCGACCAAGGGCATGGAGCGCTTGTCGGTAAACACGCTGTCCGTCGGTCCTGCACATCACGCCCCTGGCGGTTCTCTGTCTGCTGCCCCGGGCTCGCCCATGCAGGAAGCCTACCACGGCACGTACCAGTCCATGTCGCCCATGCCGTCGCCGCTCATGCTGGCCTCGAACAACCCGCACGGTGCCGGAGACGTCCAGGTTATGGATATCAACGGTCCTGAGCCCGACGATGAAGACTCCCCGTCAGCCACGAAAGGGCTTGGCGGTGGTGGTGACGGTGGTGACAAAATTCGGCGCCGCGCGCGGTTCTACGATCCAGAGGACGACGCCCAGCGGCTGGCCAAGGCCCTGCGCGGCGAACGCCACCCACCCGACACGGGCCCGCTCATCGAGATTCTGCCAGGCCTCACGCACGACCAGGTCTTGGAGCTGCGCACGGAGTACAAGCGCATCGTCAAGACGGGCACCGAGCGGAAGGGTGTCAACATTGCCAAGCACATCCGCGCGCGCCTCAAGGACGAGGACCCGGCGCTGATGAAGGTGTGCTATGCGACAGCACTCGGTCGCTGGGAGAGCGAGGCCTACTGGGCCAACTTTTGGTACCATGGCGACAAGACGCGCCGCGAGCTGCTAATCGAGTCGCTCATGGGCCGCACCAACGACGAGATCCACCACATCAAGAAGAGCTTTACCGACAAGAAGTACGGCGACAGCATCGTCAAGTGTATGCGCACCGAGCTCAAGGAGGACAAGTTCAAGCGGGCCGTGCTCTTTGTGCTGGACGAACAACGCATGGAAGAGGTGGGTCGTGATGGTCGCCCGCTGCCGCTGGACCGCGGTCTGATCGAAGAGGACAGCGCCACGCTGCACCACGCCGTGCGCGCCGAAAAGGGCGGCGAGACGGCCATGATCAACGTCGTCGTACAGCGCAGCGACGCACACCTACGCGAGGTCCTGCGCATCTACAGCGCTCAGTACCAGACCAACTTTGCCCGCGACTGTCTCAAGAAGAGTGGCAACCTTGTTGTAAGTCCCACCACTCCCCTCGTTCTTGTTGTTTTCTTGCACTGCTAACAGTTTAGGGCGAAATGCTGGCACACATTTTGAACGGCGTCATCAACAAGCCCGTCCGCGACGCTCTGTTGATCCACCACGCCCTCACCACCTCCAAACGTGACGAGCTGCGCCGCGAGCTCCTAATCTCCCGGCTCGTCCGCTTCCACTGGGACGGCCACCACATGGCCGCTATCAAGGCTGCTTACCGCAGCCGCTACAACAAGGACATGCAGGAGGCCATCCGCGAGGCCACTGGCAGCTCGGATTGGGGCCTGTTTTGCCGCGAGCTGTGCATCACCCGCGTGCCCGACGATGTGAAGCGCGTTGAACGTATCTCGGAGATCCGGCGCGACGACCGAGACTAGGTAAGCAGTGGGTGTTTGCAAAAGCGTCTAATGAATTTTGTATGATATCACATTTACATCATATTTTGGAATGAAATTTGGGATATTTTTATATGAAAAAAAAATTATGGCCAAAAAGAAAATGTGACTTTTAAAGTTAAGTACCGATATAAAATGTCCGAAAAGAAGAAAACCTCCTTCAACCCGTGACAACCGTGAAAGAATTTTGTGCATAGCAGAAAGGGGGCAAAAAATAAAATAAAATTAAGCACTAGAAACGTAAATTGCATGCAACATAGATGTATTTCATGGTCGAGCAAGGCCGCTCGCCTCGTAACAGTGGCCGTTCTCGTGATATCCCAGAATAACGCCAATGCACTGAAACAAATAGTGACCAAAACAAAACAATCTCAAATCAGCAGATGCAGACCCTAAACCTCATCTTCGTCTCGCGCCGGCGGTGGTCCGCATGGCTGCACCATGTTCTTGAGCAGCTTGAAGCGCGTCTTGGCCGCCGGCTCGCCCTGCGCCAGCGACAGGAATGCCAGCATCGGCGGGTGGCCGACCAGGCTCGAGTATGTATCGCGCATAATGTTGGACTTCCACTCCCAGCTCGTCGTGTCCGGGTGGCCGGTGCCAATGTATTTCTGCTGGAGCCGCTCGAGCTCCTGCTGTGCGCGAAGTTTGTCGGCCTAAAGGAGACGTGTTAGCTGGCTGCGCCTTCATGGGAGGGCATATGATGGGCTCAGCTGTGATTTGAATCTACCATTGTAAAGTTATGAGGTTGTTCTGACTTGGAACGTAGGTTTGGTGAAGCTACGATGGAGTCGATGGCGAGGCTTGTGTCACGATGAGGCGAAGTACTTGTCGCAAAAATTAGGCTCGTCCATAGATAGCCCGTAAAATGATGACTAACAATTGCTGTAGCCTGCTATACCAACTACGCGCGCTACCACCCTGCTTAGATAACGCGCTAAACTTTGGAAGGTTTGGTGGGCCAGGCGCTTCCAATCTTCAGCGCGTGCGCCAAGTTCCCTAAACTTGCGCCTGCACATCCGATCTTGAAGCATTACCAATTTGCGCCACGCCACGGAAAGCCTTGCGATATTTGGACACCAGCTTTGGCGCACCTTAATTCCTGCATGTTTCTTATATAACGAGGCGCCCCGACAGCAAAATAGCTTGGCGATTGCCCCTGGTGGCAACGTGCCTTTAAAGGCAAACTTACTCGCCTCGGCCACGACGACGATTTACCGGTCACGTCCGCGGCATCGATACCCGACACAGACTACCATAATACTAGTCGACGAATGCCACAATGACAGACAGCTTCGAAAGCAACTTACTACGGCTCCTGAAAGCGATGCAGGAGCAGAAGGCCACCTTCACAGCAGAAGCGAAACGGATAGCCGACCATTGCCATTCCGAGCATACCGGGGATGGCACGGCCGCAACAAATGGAACCAACAGCAAGGCAACACAAGGCGGTGATGTCGAGATGACGGACGCACCAAGCAAAGAAGCGACAATAGCGACGGCAGCGACAACCAACTCGGCGAAGGCCTTTTTTTGCCGGCCCTGCTACAACGACTTCCTCACCATGATCTACCAGACCTACGCATCGCCCGCACAACCACAATGGTACGCGACGCAACAGACATCTTTTGTGGCCGAGGTCGGTCGGCTCCTCGACGACGTGCGCAACCTGCGCGCCCCACTTTCCAGTGTGGACAGCTGGATCAACGCCCAGAAACAGGCGTGGCTACGCAGCCAGCTGCGGGACGCCGTTGCGGTGCAGACGCTGGCCGAGTCGCTGGACGCGGAAAAGGCCGCGTTCCATGCCCAGCTGGTGGATCCGACGATACAGCTGGACGTTCTGCTGCGAGCAGTGACGACCACGGCGGGCAACCAGGTCAACGGTGAGCGTGAGCGCATTGTGGCGGATGTGCAGACGGCGACCAAGAAGCTGCAGCAGACGTCTACCGACAGCAACGAAAAGAGCACCATCTACCGCGATAATCTGTTCCCGGGGGGTGTGCCGGATCTGCCGGCTGTGCGCGCGATCGAGAAGAAGCTGCTGGATGGCACGGTCGGCCTGGACGAGGGCCTTGGTGACATGCTTCGAGATGTCTATGGAGGCGAGGACGAGGACGCGCGCGCGGCGAAGATGCAGAAGCACCAGAAGAGGCTGGCCGAGCTAAAGCGGGCCAAAGCGGCGCACGAGGCGCAAAAACTCAAGAAGATGAAGCCCATCGATGTGCCGTACTTTTTGCAGGACGACACGCCGTGTGCGACGTGCGGCAAAGCCGCGGATCCACAAAAGAGCCCCTTTTGCGAAGTCTGCTTCCTCGAGGTCGACTATTGCTTGCGCGAGAACCAGACGGTGTGGTGCTCGACGACGTGCATGAAGGAGGACTATGCGGCGCACCTCGCGGCGAACCACGCGTGCGCAGCGGGCGACCGCTGCACGCGCGCCAAACCCCTTGGCGATTCCAGCGCAACGCGTCAAGAGCCGCGGTACTATTTCTGCCGGGAGTGCGTGCTGTCCTTTAGTATTGGGACGGTCTACTGCAGCGAGCGGTGCGCCGGCCGCGACTTCCAGCCGCACCGCGAGAAGGTCCATCTGCCGAACCGTGAGATGCGCGCCGACTCGCGCGACGACAGGGGGGAGCTGAGCTACAGCAGCGCGCGCAAGGTGGCCTACACGGCGGCCGACATTGGCAAGCATTTGCTATCGCTGGGCGAGGCGCTGGCCGGCTGCCAGAAGAAGCACCCGGACTGGGACCTCGCGACAACCAAAGTGAATCTGACGCTGCCGTGGACTGCATAGGGGCGGCCCACGTAGCAAGGACACGGAAGGACACGCAAGCAATCGCATCCGGGATACAGCTCCTTTTCACGGATGTACTGCGTTCGTTTCACTGGGTAGATTTTATTTTATCTGTGCGAGATTTTCGCGGGCGACGGCGTATGGTGCGAAACAGGTGCATTGTATATCATTCTCTGTATTTTATATCCCTTGATCGATTGGTCAGGCAAAAGAAACGACAAGTTCCGGAGTGAAGGGACTTAAATTACAACGCCATTGAATTTTGATGCTGGATCCTTTCTTTAATCGCAGGTTCAGCTTGGGGTGGAACGTGTTAGCGGCTGACTGAACGCGTTGCAGGTGGTTCACACGCGTTTTTGGGACCTGTTGTGCCCCACTCTGGCGACCTAAATGAACGACGACAAACTTTCAAGTTCAGGCACTTCAAGCAACAATCAGCACGTTTCTAGGTGTTCGCCAGGGTTTTTCTCCCATAACCAAAATGCCGGCACTGTCGCAACGAGTACGAAGACGTCCAGCGGACGACGACGAAGAGGAGCCGCCACGGCACCGCCACCAGCCAGTTGAGGAAGAGGAGGAAGAAGGAGAAGAAGAGGAGGAGGACGAGGGAGATGACGAAGCCGGGGGCGAAGACGACGAGGAAGTAGAGATGGACCATGAAGAGGAGGAGGAGGAAGAAGAAGAAGAGGAAGAAGAGGACCAGAACGCACGGCGACGTGCACAACGGCAAAAGGAGAAGCAGAGGAAGCGACGAGAGGCCGAGCGGCGCCAGCAACGGACCACCCGAAACGACGAAGACGATGACGACGATGATGGCGACGAAGACGACGATGTCGCTGTCAATGGAACAGCAACCCAGGCACAGGTTGACAGACAGCGGTTACACCACGAACTGTTGGCCAAGAAGCTGGCACGGTATGCGTTGGCCAGCGAGCCGCGACGGCTGCCGATCCGGCGACAGGCCGTGAAAGAGCAAGGTCAGTTTGCACATACCCCAGCACATAAATGCTCCTGCTGACCGGTGTAGTCCTCGAAAACGAGGGAAAGCACTTTCGCAAGGTGTTTCCCATTGCACAGGAACAGCTGCGCGGCATCTTTGGCATGAATATGGTAGACTGGCCCGCGCGTGAGAAGACGACGATGACCATGCGCGAGCGTCGGAAGGGTATGCACACATGTACTCCCACCATAATCGTTTATTTGACCCTTTGCCCTCTGACATGTGCAGCCCTCAAATCACAAAAGGCAGCCAAGCCGACCAAATCGGCCGCCGTCGACCGCTATCTGCTCGTCTCGACGCTGCCCGCCGAATACCAGGAATGCGTCTTCACACCGATCTTGTCCGATCCCGCTGCCACCGACAACATCGAACCGGCCATCCCGCCTGCGCCGGACGCCGCCTACATGGGGTTCTGCACATTGGTTGTCGCCCTCATCACGCTCAACGGTGGCGAAATGTCCAACGAGGACCTGGAGAAGCTGCTGAGTCTCGTGCATGGCGGACGCAATGCCCCTGCCCGCGCCGACGATGATTTCCTGCAGCCCATTGCAACCACCATGGGCGACCACATTGACGACGAAGACGGCCGTGGGGTCGGTGGTCCATCAGAAGATGGCACGCCCACAGCCGGGGGCACGCTCCAGCACATGGTGCGGCAAGGCTACTTGCTTCGGGTGGTCGAAGCACCCGCCACGGCCGAGGGTCGGGGCCCTGTTGGCGGACGCGGTGCCGGTGCGACTGGCGGCGGTATCCCAGCGGGCGCCAAGGTAATATGGCATGTCGGCCCACGCGGTCAAGTGGAGATTGGGCCGTCACAGGTGGCCGATGTTGTGTATCATATCTACGGCGAAGATGCAAACGAGGAGTTGCAGCGGCGGCTGCTGTCGAGCCTGCAGATGGCGGGCAACGCTGCGGGCAGTGAGCAGCAGGAGGCCCCTGCCAGACAGCAAAGCGAGGAAGTGCCGTAAATGACTAAGACACGAGGAATTGCAGATATGTGGTAATGAATTGCTTTGATTTACATTGCTGTTTTGGAACCAAGTCGGACTTTTGCTGTCGAAGTGCGCTGTAGTGCGACCTGTTAAATAGTGGATTTAGTGGTGGATGTCACTGTAGTGGGGCGTGCAAGGCCACTTAAAGCCGGCCCCGATCACTAATTGGCAAGACGCGTCAAGAGATTTCAGACCGCGTCTACTAGTGCCACCGCTCGTAAGCAGGAGGTTTGTTGCCTCCCGAATCGAACGAAGCGACGACGGTGAAACATTTGCCGCACCACACGGCACCGGACAGCATTACACGGCCCCGGAACGACGCCAGATGGAACCGGACCTGCCTAACCGGACGATGGATGCTGCCGAATTTCAAGAGCCGCCTTCCAAGAGGCGTCGGTTCTCGCCCGATAACGGCAGTGAAGCCGATCACGAGGGCAGCAAAGCGCGGCTGGATGAAAAGGAAAAGGAGAATGCCCAGCGACTGCCCCAGCCGAAACGCCGCTTCTTCGACGATGCCGTTGCCATCCCCTCCCTTCCTCGCCCTCAGACCGCCGCCCAGCCGACCTCCTCCCCCGCTGCGATGCCTACCAATGGTGTCAAGTCCACAGCGTTGCCGACGAACAGTTTTACCCCGGCCAAGCCCTCGTCGCCGACACCCGCCTCTCGTCGACCGGCACAGTCATCACCCGCCCGCCCAGGGCTGTCGATAACCCCCTCCTCACCGTCGCTCTCGGCGTCGCCCTCGCCTGTTGGCCCGGTGCCGTTTGATAGCGAACTGTTCGCGGGCATTATCGGCCAGGAAGTTGGCCCGGACGTTTTACGGATTATTCGAGAGTCCTGTGGCAGTGATATGGAGCGTGCCGTCAACATGTACTTTGACGGGACTTACAAGCTCAAGATGCAGGCGGCCGCAAGCCGGACGAATGGTGTTGCAGTACGGCCCAAGGCCGCATCTGCGTCAACCTCGGCCTCACTTTCAACCTCATCTAAGCCCTCCATCTCCAACCAGACGTCTACCAAGACGTCGCCTCGCAAGTCTGTCCTGCAAAACCGCTCTGCCATCCCCGAACGCCGCTACATTGGCTGCTTCGGCGTCGAAGGCTGGGCCACCCGCAGCGGCGCCAATTTGCTCAAGCACGGTGACACCGTCAAGATTGAGCGCCAGAAGATCGAGCTGCCCACCATTGCCGGGACCAAGCAAAGGGCCTCCAAGCTCGGCGCCTCCGTCGTCGTCCGCGCCAACTCGGCTGCCGCTAAGCGCGTAGACGTTATTGTGCGCTTCACCAGCACCAGCGGCCAGGAGATTGGCCGTTTGTCGAAAGACACCGCCAACTGGGTGTCGACGCTGATGGACCAGCGCATCTGCCGCTTCGAGGGCGTCTGTGTCTACGCGCCCGAGCGGCTGCGGACCAACGACACTGTTGTGCTGCAGCTTCGATCGTTCCTGTTGCGCTCGGCGTTTGACCAGGCGCCGCTCAAGCCGGCCGAGAACCGCACCACGGGTCTGTTCGAGGAAAAGGAAACCGCCGAAGAGCGGGACCTGCGCCTGCGCCAGTTTGCTCTGGTGCGGCTGTTCCAAGAGGTCAACCTGCTGCCGACACGCGTCAATGAAGCCGCCGCCAAACGCGGCCGACAGGATCTGCTGCAGGCGGCAGAGATGGCCGAGAAGCGAGAGAAGGAGGCGGCCAAGGAGGGCTTGAGGCCGACCCAAGACATTGGCTCCAGTCAAGCCCCGGGGGGGTCTGATGAGCCGGAAGACGGCCAAGAGCTGGAGCAGGACCAGCTGGATGCACTGTACGCCAAGGCACAGTCGTTTGATTTTAACACGCCCGAGGCCGACCCCCCAGACACCTTTGCGCTCACCCTGCGCACGTACCAGAAGCAGGCGCTGCACTGGATGCTGTCTAAGGAAAAGGACGAGAGCGTCGAAGAACGGGGCGAGTCCATGCATCCGCTGTGGGAGGAGTACGCATGGCCGTTGAAAGACATGGACGACAATGACCTCCCAACGGTTCCTGACCAAGCCAGCTTTTACGTCAACCCGTACTCGGGCGATTTGTCGCTCGACTTCCCCGCCCAGGACCAACACTGCCTGGGGGGCATCCTGGCTGACGAGATGGGTCTGGGCAAGACCATCCAGATGCTGAGTCTCATCCACTCGCATAAATCGCCCATTGCCATGGAGGCACAGCAGCAGAAGCGGCAGCAGGCAGAGGGCAAGCTGACTAGCCTCGTCGGCGGCCTGCGCCGCATCCGCACCCGGCTGCCCAACGTTGTCCACGCGCCATGCACCACGCTCGTTGTTGCTCCCATGTCGCTTCTCGCGCAGTGGCAGAGCGAGGCCGAGAACGCGTCCGTCGAGGGCACGCTCAAGTCCATGGTGTACTACGGCAGCGACAAGTCGGCCAATCTGCAGGCCCTGTGTGCGCCAGACCAGGCGGCTACCGCGCCCGATGTTGTCATCACCAGCTACGGCACCGTCCTATCCGAATTCACGCAGATGTGGGCCAAGGGCGGCGGCCATGAAGGCCACCCGGGCCAGGGCCTGTTCTCGCTCAACTTTTTCCGCATCATCCTGGACGAGGCGCACACCATCAAGAACCGCCAGTCCAAGACTGCCAAGGCCTGCTACGCGCTGCTGGCCGAGCACCGCTGGGTCCTGACCGGCACGCCTGTTGTCAACCGCCTGGAGGACCTGTTTAGTCTGATTCGCTTCTTGCGTGTCGAGCCCTGGAACAATTTCTCGTTTTGGCGCACCTTCATCACAGTGCCCTTTGAGTCCAAGGACTTTATGCGCGCGCTCGACGTCGTGCAGACCGTGCTGGAGCCGCTGGTCATGCGGCGCACCAAGGACATGAAGACGCCCGACGGGCAGCCCTTGGTGGTCCTGCCCACCAAGCACATGGAGATTGTCCCTGTCGAGCTCTCCAAGGTGGAGCGCGAGATCTACGATCACATCTACATGCGCGTCAAGCGGTCCCTGACCGCCAACGTCGAGGCCGGCACCGTCATGAAGTCCTTTACGAGCATTTTTGCACAGGTTTTGCGTCTGCGGCAAGTCTGCTGCCACCCCGTGCTCGTGCGCAACATGGACATTGTTGCCGACGAGGTCGAGGCCGGTGCCGCAGCCGATGCCGCAGCCGGTCTTGCCGACGACATGGACCTGCAGTCGCTTGTCGAGCGCTTTACGGCCACAACGGACGACCCCACGGACGCCAATGCATTTGGGGCCCATGTCTTGGGACAGATCCGCGACGAGGCTGTGAACGAGTGCCCGATTTGCAGCGAAGAGCCCATGATCCAGCAGACCGTCACGGGCTGCTGGCACTCGGCCTGCAAGGCGTGCCTCCTCAAGTACATTGACCACGAGACGGACCACCACCGTCTGCCGCGCTGCTTCCATTGCCGCGAGGTCATCAACCGGCGCGACCTGTTCGAGGTTGTGCGCCACGACGACGACCCGGACACCGTCGCCGGGCAGCCGCCACGGATCAGCTTGCTGCGCGTCGACGTCAGCGAGTCGTCCGCCAAAGTGGTGCGCCTGATCCAGCACCTGCGCGACCTGCGCCGCTCGCGGCCCACCATCAAATCGGTCGTATTTAGCCAGTTTACGTCGTTCATGTCGCTGATTGAGCCCGCCCTGCGGCGCTCAAACATGAAGTTTCTGAGATTGGACGGCACCATGGCCCAGAAGGCGCGCACGGCCGTCCTCGACGAGTTTCGCCAGTCCAACAAGTTTACCGTCTTGTTGTTGAGTCTGCGGGCCGGCGGCGTCGGCCTCAACCTGACGACGGCCAAGCGCGTGTACATGATGGACCCGTGGTGGAGTTTCTCGGTGGAGGCGCAGGCCATTGACCGGGTGCACCGTATGGGCCAGGATGAGGAGGTGAAGGTGTATCGGTTTATTGTACAGGGCAGCGTCGAGGAGAAGATGCTCAAGATCCAGGACCGGAAGAAGTTTATGTAAGTTTTCGTGGTGCCTGAACAGACGGAACGAAGTCTCCTTTTGCAAAAAGACAGCTGCTAACCAAACAGCGCCACCTCGCTGGGCATGATGACGGATGAGGAGAAGAAACTGCAGAGGGTCGAGGACATCAAAGAGCTTCTCAGTTAAGAAGCACAAATAGTCCATCCTTGGCCATCTTATGGATAACATGCACAAACGACGACATAGTACAGAACACCTGGAATCGCATGAAGGAATTCTGACGGTGCGATGGACCCTGGCGAGCGGGTCAACCGAGAAACCAGGATGAAACAAAAGACGGAATCCACAGTACGACCACGCGTACGACACACTCTGAATATCTCGGAAACGAGGATCGACACGACACTGCATTTACGACGTGCCTGAGCGGGCAGGCATCATTGGTTTATAACGGCACTGAATAAAGGATAGATGAGGACAACATTACACGGTATTGGATGCAAAGCCATTGGAAAAGACTGAGCAAATACAAGGTATATTTGAGCTATTGACAAGGAAGCAGAAAAAAGTGTATATATTAAAAACCAGGCGTACGTTTTTCAAAAGTCGTGCAACCAACGATACAAACCACGCGAAGATACAAAGAGGACACTGGTATGCTTGATATTTTTAAACCAGACAGCAAGAAAACCAAAGAGTCCGCTCAGAGCAACGCTGTGATTTGAATACTAGGCCATCGAGGTCTGTTTCACTCCGTTCCAATAGGCCACGCGTTTAATCCCGCTTGGGGATGAGCGACCCGACAGGCAGGTTGATAGCAGTGCCACCATTGCCCCAGAGACCAGCAGCACCGGCATAGTCTGGCGAGTTAGCAAGGGGGAGAACACAAAAGGTATACGTTTACGTATCGTTGGGGGAGGATGAACGTACAGGCAAGGAAGGCAGAGATGAAGCCGGTGGCCGAGGAGGCCTTCAGCAAGCCGGCATTGTTGACCATGTAGCCCGTGGCAATGAAGAGGAGAGTCAGGTCGACAAAGACGAGCAGCAGCAGCAGCACCCACGAGGCACGGGTCGCGGCCACGGTGAAGATGACGCAGACAATGAACCAGGCCCAGACAAACATGGAGATGGCCTGCGGCAGGTCGGGCAACGGCTCGCCGGTGGTGGGGTCCGCGTAGGCGGCCAAGATGCCGGTGCCGGGGATGAAAATCAGGGCATAGGCGACGTTGAAGCCGGCAAACGACGAGAAGACCGTGGCACCAAAGGTGTTGCCGGTGACAAACTCCATGATGCCGGCAATGTACTGGCACAGGCCGCCAAAGAAGATCATGGTGCTGATGATAATGTTGGGCTCGGCAACGCCGCGGGGGTGCAGGTTCACGAGGGACAGCAGGAAGATGCTGGTCGCAAACGCGGTCAGGCCCAGCGGCGCCGGGTTGGCCAAGTTGCGAGGGACAAACGGCAGACCAGGCTGGTCACGGGGCGAGATGGTGACCTGGGCCTCGAGGTCGTTGCCGCCGCCGGTCTTGGAGTTGACGGAGGGTGTGGAGGGCGACATTTTGCTGGAGAGGCGGGCGAAGCGTTAGATGTCCGGGTGACGGTGTGTGACGGCGAGGAAGAAAAAAAAAAAGGAACCGGGAACGACGGCCTGACAAGTGAGAAAAGGAAGACACAGGAAGAACAAAAAAAAAAAGAAAATTGCCACGAGGGACGAGGGAGTGAACAGGGCCTTGTCTTTTATGCAGACACCTTTATCGCCTCGGTACGGGGACAGTTGTCGCCAGTACCACGGGAAGAGAAAGAGAACCAAAAGAACCAGAGGAAGCGACCCGGTTTATTGGATGAGCACAACGTGGGTTTGCTGCTCGTTGGCAATGCAACCCAACTTTTGGGCCAGTATTTTTGCTTTGTACGGTCATGCACGAAAGGGATGCAGCATGGATGGGCCGTGCGAGACGTGGAGAGAGAAAAGATGCCTTGTTGGTGTTGTTGTTTTGCAGATGCAGGTGGAAGAGCAAGATTTTTTTGGGTAAAGGACGGTGTCACTCACAGGATTGAAGTTGTTGAATTATGAAGTAGAAGCAGAGAAAATGCAAAAACTGGTTGAAAAACAAAAGCGAGTGCGAACGTAGTTGGATAATGTTAAATGTTGTCAGGCAGAAGTGTCCTTGAAAAGAAAAACAGTATCGTTGAGAGAGAGGGATGGAGAAGAAAAGAAAAGGCGACCGACGAGCTGAAAGAGAAAGAAGAAGGGATCTGCGTTCTCAATAAAAGTAAAAAAAAAGGAAAATAATAAATCGTGGCGAGAGCGCGCGTCCCGAACAAAGTACACCACTTCCGTACAACAGAAGATGACCAAACAAGCAGAGCAGGGGAGCTAAAAAGGGGAAGGAAGATTACCATCGGCGAGTCTGGAAGGGGAAAGGGTAGGAGCATGGGAGCATGGCAAAAAGGCTCGTCGTGCGGTCTCAAGTCTGGGCAATGGTAAGTCGGAGCTTCTCTATGTCTTTAAGCCATGAAAGACTACGAATAAGAGAGCATGCCTAGTAACAACCACGGCAAAGTATGGCGGTGTGGCATCATCAAGCCTTGTTGAGGAACAGAGAAAAAGGCAAGACTTGGATCCAGGCCGTGGTTTTGACATGTCTCGCGGGAAATTTCTCTAACATTCGTACATTTGACTTGTTTTATTGTACTGTTTGTGTGGCTCCGGGATGATGGAGTGCATAAAGATGTGCAGAGGTTTGTTGACTTTGGGCCAAGAGCATGTTGATCCAATTCTGGATGTACATTGCACAAGCACCAAAGAGACTAACTCTGCATAGAATGAAGAGGAGAAGAATAAGCTAGGCAGCCAACATGGAGGAAAAGCAAATCGAGACTAGCGCTGCTGTCCTTGGCATTCGAGAGTGTCAATATGAGAGACGAGAGGATATGAGAAGATAAGAGAGGGAGAGGTGAGGGACATTTAGAAAACTGTATTCATGGAGACGGAAAAGGCAAACGACGGTGGGAATGCCAAGTAACTACGACGTATGTGACGGACCTGGCTACCCGTCCAACCTGTATGTAGACACGTGTGAGGATATGTATGCCGCCGTGTGGAAGCATTTGCGAAAGCTGGGTGGATTAATGGGTACTCAAGAGGTACAGCAACAGAGCGAGAAAAACAAAATATGACAACTAATGAAGCAGTATGCGGCTTCGTGACCCCTTCGTTTTTTCTTTTCTTTTCTTTTTTTTTTCATTTTTTTTTCATTTTTTTTTTACCGACCGAGTGATGCCGTCCACTCTGTAACTGTCTGTTGTCGCCAAGAAAAACGCCGCGTGTAATGCTTCCTCTTTTAAAATGGTAAGTGAAGATTATTTATGAGAGCCAATATTGACAATTTTGTCCAGCACCCTAACTCTGTATTATTGATGCTCCGTGAAAGTAAAGTATCCTAGGTGGGCTGTGTCTTTCCCCACTCTCTTCCTTTGCTCGCTTCTTTCAAATATGGACAGCATGGATTGTGAACGCCACGAAACTAGCCAAGGGATCGTCCCACGGTGAACAGCATAAACAGACAGGTGTCAACCTTATGTTGTACGGAATATGGGGATGCAGGTCAGACTAGGCAGGCCAAAGAACGTTGAGACACCAAGGAAAGTGCAGGCATGGGGGAAAAGACAGAAAAAGGTAAGACCTTGGGAGTCAACCAATACACTGTGGCTCAACACCATGTAGGGGATAACCGAAGGAAACGGTAAGAGGAAGGTTACGGGTCACATCCTATTTGTCCCTCTCCGCCTTGTCCATGTTACAAGCTCCTTCACTAGACTCAGAAAATATTGCTAAATATATGACATAGAGTCCGTTTTGAGACAGCTTCTCGTTACCCCACCGTCTCTTCTCTTTGCTTTTTCTTCATCATCACCTGCTGTATGCAGTAAGGACACTTGGTTCATGACCCGATACGGAATCCTCGTACTGAATATTCGAACTTGGCATATGAAGTACGGAAGAAGCACATGTACTCAATAAATTCAGATATCTCAGTAAAACGGTCCAGCAAGACAAAACGGTACTTAAATGCTTTGGAAACAAGTGTCGTTACGGTTTGACGACCGCTTCGTACGACCTAGGAAGAGGAGAACTGTGAAAAGAGCACAGTGCTGTGGGTGACGGCGAGCGTCAATAGTAGTTTGATGTCCAGAGTACTCACTTTGCTCGCTATCAAGCGGACAATACCTCTGTCTTGTTTACATTACCTACTTTCTTTTCTTCTTTCATTACAACCGTCCACGGGCAGGGGCATGTTTTGGATACGACTCCGTAATCATGATCCGCCAGTAAGAAAGCTACTAGCGATGAAAGACAGTCGCAAAGCGCGCAATCCGCACCGAATCTGAAAACGAGCAGTAACGGAAAAACACCCAAGTCATACATCAGCAGGTGGACCCTCCGCCATACAAAGTTGCAGTGGCGGGGATGTGGCCTGGTCTTTGCATATGCAATGGCGCAGCATGTTGTATTTTTCTCTTGTTTTTCTTCTTGTACTCTGGTTGATCGTCTCTTTTCTCCTTCCCTTTCTTTCTTGCCGTTTTCCTGGCACTCCCTGCCCCTTGTGTTTCGTAGTCACAGGTTTACTATTTCTTCAACTTGTGGCTGTCTCGGCAGTTGTTACCGACTGTTGGTTCTTCACAGAGAGGCATTTCTTGGGGCGATTACTGCGTAAAAAGCTTGGCTTTGACCAGTTCCCTGGTGTTGGTCTCCGTTGTCACCTCTGGAGACGCTGCATGGCTGGCTCTACCACCTGTTTGGCAAAATGCCCGGCCGGATATATGGTCAAAGTACATGTACGCTTTTTGGCTTTGTTACTGAGTTCCAACGTCCGGAAGCATTGGTTTCTGATCCGAAAGTTTTGATTTCAACGGGGGCAACCAAAGCGGCGTAGTGCAAAATGGAAGCTCAACATGTACAGGCGCCCACAGCGCGGGGCCCAGGAGGAAAACGTCAACTTCAAGCTTTTGTGTGGGGGCTCGGGGGATGCGCACAAACGCTACGGGAAGTGGACACGCCAAAGAAGCCAAGCTCCCAAGGTACCGCTCCGTCCTCTCACACAGTGTGGTCTTGTCCCCTTGTGGAGGATCAGAACAGCCAGTGGGGCCATGTAGGCTGCCTGTTTTATGTCGTCTTTTGCGGT